GCCTTGGGTGCAATCCCAAAACAACTGGAGCACCACTTGAACACCATTGGCATTGACAAATTCGCTATTAGTTAATTGCAAAAGGCGGCCTTACTAGGAACTGCTTCCATCCTGCGACGATATCTGTAATACCATCAAACATCCACATTGGCTTATCCCAGGTCCTGGGTAAGGACTCGATAGGTAGACAAAATGCCAAATCCAGTCTGAACATCTGGCTGACTGTGCGATGATCCATAATAATAATAATAATAATAATAATAATAATAATAATAATAATAATAATAATAATAATAATAATAATAATAATAATAATAATAATAATAATACTGTGCTTCACAGAGCCTCATGGATTTATACTAAACTTTATATATGTAGCTGATATAAATATTACACAAAGAATGTTATATTTCCCCCTGTGTTTGAAAAATTGGGAAGCACTTATATTTTTCTATTAAGAGTTATAGCAGTTTCATGGGACTCATTTGATCACTGCAAGCAGACTTTCTATGGAGAGTCTCAATCCTTGCTTCTTTTTTTCTATGACCTGAGATTATTTATGGTCCTGGGGAGGGGGGATACGTGGTTTAAATCCCTACTTTCCAGGAGTGTGCACTTTCCGATAAGTTAAGAATTGTTGGATAATGCTTATTATGTATTCAGTTAAAAAAACCACCAAGACCACTCCTACTAATACTGACAGGGCAAGCCACTACTATATAAAAATAAGAGCAAACCCCACACCCTTCCAGTACTGATGATGTTATCTAGCTTGGTAATGAAATGTCTGCAAGAAAACCACCAAGCTCAGAGAGCACCAAGGATCCAAAAGTTCAACCTTGAGTTACAAATATTGCTATGTATTCAATGGTTTACACACACACACACACACAAAATCCTCACTGCAAAATTGAATCTTCTTTTTCTCAGAATGAGTATTACTGCCGCTTAGATTTTCTCTGGAAGAAGAAGTTCAAAAAAGAACGTGAAGAGATTGAAACCATGGAGAATCTCAACCGGGTCCTCCTGGAAAATGTTCTCCCAGCTGATGTAGCTCAGCAATTCATTCGTCAGAACCGGCGCAATACGGTGAGCCTTGAAAGTTAATATCTCACTAGTGATACCAGAGAGAGAGAAAGAGGTGAGGCTGGGCGGGAAACTAATCCACCTAAGAGTTGGCTGCTAAGGTTTGGACCTTGAATTGGGTTGCTGTAACAAAACAGGTTACAGGTTCCATCATCTATGGAGCTACATTTGGTAGGGCCTTTTCTGTTGTGGCATCCACATTCTAGAATCTTCTTCCCCAGAGATGAGGTTGACCTCATCGCTCCTGAGCTTTGACGGGCCCTCAAGACCTGGTTATGCTAGCAGGCCTGGAGACACCAGGGAACAGGTGAACTCATGATGTGGCTCCATTAATATTAACAACCTCCTGTCTATTAATCTCTTTTTCCTGTTCTAGTTCTGCTTTTATAGTTTTTAATGCTCTTAATAATGACCATATCATGATTTTAGATAATTTATTTGTTAAATTTATTTACTGCCCATCTTGTATCAAAATGACTCTGAGTGGCTTAAAGCATTAAAACATTAACATTTTAATATTTAGAAAAAATGGAAATCACAATCAAAATAAATTTATTATTAAAAGACGGGGAGGGAGGGGACAGGATGCATGGGGGGGAGGTAGGATTGCCTCTTAATTGTTTATATTAATTATCATGATTGTTTTGTAATTGTTTATAATGATTGTTTTATTTAATTATTTTATGGGATTGTTGTATGCTGCCCAGAATCACTTTCCATGAGATGGGCAGGCATGTAAATTTGGTAATGAAATAAAATAAAATGATAATAAAATAATAGAAAACTTGGTGTGCTGCTGTGCATCATTTTTCTTACCTGAGTTGGCTTCTTGGATTTCTAGGTTGCCATGACAGTCATGAGACTGTTCCAGAACATCACCACCCAATGCCTATTAAAAGGCATGCTCTCAATTTAGTTTTGGGTAGGACAACTATATCCAAAAAGTTGGGCCTTTTGTAGCTGTGTTGCAATGGTTAAGTTATCCTTCCTGATCTTCTAGGAAGGTCCTGGAAGTTGAAGATGTATGTATGTATGTATGTATGTATGTATGTATGTATGTATGTATGTATGTACTGTGTTTCCCCGAAAATAAGACTGGGTATTATTATTATTATTGTTGTTATTGTTGATGTTGTTGTTGTTATTATTATTATTATTATTGTTGTGTCCTGAGCCTGCAAGATGCAGGCTCGGGACGTTGCAAGAGTCCCGGGCAATTGCAGAAGCTGCCCGGGACCAGACTGAGCGGCGCCAGCCTTGTGCGCATGTGCAAGGCGAGAAAAGCCCGCCTCATGATTGGTTGAACTTGCCCGGGGATCAGAGGGTATAAATAGAGGCCTGCGTGCCTCTGCTCTGGTTGTTCGTAGAGTGGAGCAAACAATAAAGACTTGTTGGAGATGATTCGTCTCAAGCGCCATTATTCCCAGGACTTAACACTGGCGACGAAGGTGGGATACAGTCTCTACAGCTAAGAAAA